AGTCTGCAGATACTGAGAAGTCAGGTGGCGAGAGGGTGAGAGAGAGATGGTGGACTTAGAAGAGGAAGAAGAAGAACTCTCTCTCCCTCTCTCAGTCCGGTACTAACCTGTGAAGATGGCGCCTTGTTGCAGGTACATCGAAGACGAAGCTGGAGCTATGGCGCCACAGGTAAGTCTCCCTGGCCTCCGCCAACCATCTCTCTCTCTCCAACGCTACTCTAGCTCCTAATAGCGCCCAGCGCTGAAGACTACACCTAACGCTACTACTACTACTGCAGCGCTCCTCCAGAGTGCTGCTGCCGAATCCTGAAGACTGCCTCCTGCCTCCTGCATGTGAAGTGCCCGTGAAATGCCTGGGAAGTCCCCGTGAACTACCTGCAGCCTGCAGGGCGGGCCAGTCTTATATAGTGCTGGCCCGTCCAGGAGGCTGCTCTTGCCAATGCCAAAACGTGTCAGACCCTGGCGTTGAAGTTCAAACAAAGGCTGTCTTGAAAACAGGCCCAAAATGGCCTGTGCTAAAACCCTGGTCTGGTGCCTTATGGCCCTCCGTTTCAGGCTGAAAAGACTCAGGGCCTGGAGGGGCATTTTTAGGCTGAAACGACACAGGGCCTGGAAGGCCCTGATTTTCCATCTGGTCGGGCCTCGCAGACCCGTGTGGCTTCGCAATATGCCACGCCCCCCCCCTCCTTGAAAGACCGAGCTTACCTGTGAGGGCGAAGCTGCCTGTCTGAGGGAGGGACCAAAGTCCGGGTGGGAGGGGCAGGTCGTGAAGCTTCTTTAGCTAACCTTTGTCGTTCGTAGTGAGCGTAGATCAGCGGTGCGGATGCTTTCAAATCTGCTCCTGAAATCCATCGAGTGTCGTTGGGATCATATGCTTTAAAGGTAACTTTGTAATGTCGAGGCTTGCTGCCGTACTTGCGATCCGTGGTGATGCGGTCGACTTCCTGATGACCATCCATAGATGGAAGGTCTTGCAATTGTCGGCCCAGGAAATCGTCGCTCTTAGCTGGTGTGTATGTCGCCAGCTTCGAGGCGTGAAAGACTGGATGGACCGGCAGATGCGGAGGAATGTAGATCACAAAGGATGGGCCGTAGGGCTCGTCGCCTGCTGCTGAAAGGACGGTCCATGGTCCAAACCACTTGGGGAGTAGTTTGCGTGAAACATCCTGTTTGAGCGCAAAGTCTTCCGCGGAGACCCAAACCAGATCACCAGCGTGGATGGGACATGGCACGCGGCTGCTGTTTGCTTGCTGCTGCATGCGGACTTGAGCCTTTTGCATGTTCGCGCGGGCTTGAGTCGGCAACTCCCTGTACTTCCGAGCGGAGGCGGGAGAGCAAGCTGCATCTATCTCGGTTGTTCGTGGAAGGAGAAGATCAGCGGAGAAACGGCCTTTCCGTCCACCGTGGTGCAACTCGAATGGAGTCACGCTGATCGTCGGATGCAACGGAGTGTTGTAGGCAAACTTGATGTCGAGGAGGTGGTCAACCCAATCCTTCTGATCCGGACGGATGAGCGTACGAAGCATCATTTGAGCGGTCTGAAGAGCCCGCTGCGTTTGCCCATCCGTTTGTGGATGTCGAGCTGAACTTGGTTTCATCTTGGTGCCGGATTCCTGCATGAGAAAAGTCCAGAAGGCCGACATGAAACGAGTGTCGCGGTCGCTAACGACGTCTTCCCGTACGTCGTGGCTGCAAATCCAGCCGGTGTGCAAGAGGAGCGCAAGTTCGGGAGCCGTGGCGTAGTACTTGCAAGGGAGCAATCACGCATATTTACTCAATCGGTCAACGACTGTGAGGATGTCGTCATGCCCGAGGCGGTCACGGGGAAACGAACCTGTGACGTCTATGGCAATGGAGAGGCCAGGCTCCCGTAGGATAGGCAACGGGCGCAACTAGCCGTAGGGATTGCCATTACGGGGCTTGCTTCGTCGGCAAACTTCGCAAGAGTCGCAATACCGAGTGACATTGGTAATGAGGTCGGGTCACCGAAATCCGTTGTCGAAGTCGTGTGATAGTTCAATTGACTCCGAAATGGCCAGCGAGTCGGGAGTCGTGGTACTCGCCGAGAAGACGAGTCTGAAGATCACGGTCTCGTGGGACACACAATAAAAGTCCTTGCCTCGCGAGTGGAGGAGCAAGTACCCGTCAACGATGCGATAGTGGCTGGTCGGCGGGTGATCCGAAGATAGCTGCGCGTAGAGCGTGGCAAATCCAGATCGGACTCATAGCCCCGGATGAAGTGTCGTTGGAGTTCCTCATCGAAGGCGAAGGTATGATGTGCCATAGCGCAAAGATCAATTCTTCGCAAGAGTGCATTTGCTGCTCAATTGGAGAGGACGGCGAGATGTTTCAGTGTGAAGTCAAATTGGTCGATGAAGTACATCCATCGTCCAATCGTGTTGCTCATCGTATCCTGTGTCTTGTAGTAGGTCAACGGGTTGTTGTTAGTGACCCATGTGAACCTACGACGCCCAAGGAGGAGGTGTCGCCAGCGCTTGCGAGCCATCACGAACGTGAGTAACTCCTTCTTCCTTGCATTATCAAGCGAGTCGATGGGAGGCACTTTGTGGCTGAAATACTCCACGGGGTGCCAATTGTCGCCGTCGTGTTGTTCCAAGACTGCCCCAATGCCATAGCCGGAAGCGTCAATCGTGACTCTCGTTGGCAAGGTGGGGTCGTGGATGCTAAGGACGGGTGCCATGAGCATGGTCGTCTTGAGTGCTGGGAATGACCGGCACGCGTCGTCGTCGAATACGAATGGCACCTTAGGCCATTGTAGTCTCGTCAACGTTGATAGTAGCCCGCCAACCCCATAATTGAGCGAACGTCTCTGGTGTTGGGGGGCTCGGGCCATACGCGGATGGCCTCAATCTTGTCCGCGAGTGAACGGATGCCTTGCAGCGTCACAAAATATCCCAAGTACTCCAACTCTTGCCGCTTGAATTTGCATTTGTCGCGGTTGGCTTTGTACTTGGCTTGTTGTAGCCGCTCCAAAACGGTGCGCAGGTGCTCCACATGCTCGTCCAAACTCCGGCTGTACACCAAGATATCGTCGAGGTAGATGAGTACGAATCTATCCAGCATGTGTCGGAACTCCATTGTCATAGCCGCTTGGAATGTGGTCGGGGCATTCGTAAGGCCAAAAGGCATGACCAGCCATTTGAAATGCCCGTATCGCGTCTTAAATGCAGTCTTGTAGCGGTCCTCCTGCCGGCTCTCGAGTTGGTGATATCCCGATTTGAGGTCAAGCTTGGAGAAGAACTTGGCACCGCCCAGCCGTTCGAGGAGGCCGTCGATGCGCGAAAGAGGGCCGACGTTCTTGACAGTTTGCGCGTTGAGCTTGCGATAATTGATGCACAACCGCAAGTCCTTATTCTTCTTCCGAACGAAGAGAACAGGAGCGTCGTATGGCGAAGAGCTAGGTCGGATCCAGCCTTTCTCAAAAAGGTCATCGAGTTGTGCCCGTAGCACACTTAACTCTTCCTCGCTCATGCGATAGATGCAACCACGCGGAGATGCGGCCCCGACCTCGAGGATGATCTCGTGGCGGATGGGCCGATCCGGTACTACTCCGTGGGGGGTTTCGAACACGTCGCCGTAGGCGTCGAGAAGCTCGGCGATGCGTGCATCCGTCGATGCGTCCGTCGATGAGATGTCATGGGGCAGGCGGGCGTGGAGAAAACACACACCCATCTCCTCGATGTCATCTCGGGTGATGGAAGCTCGAATGCTCGTGGCGGAGACCACATGACAACTGATCGAAGGGTGAGGTGGAGGCACCGTGCATAGGACTAGTACTTCGTTCCGGTCATGAACGTGAACGGTGCGACGGTAGAAGTTCATCGGGTGGTCCTCGCTTCGCAGCCATGACATGCACAAAATCATGTCGAATTGAGTGTCCAAAATGTCGAAGGACACGGCCTCGCTTGCATGCAGGGTGAAGTACACAGGGACGAAATCAATGCACCGATCGATTGACTTGTGCGTGTGACCGTCGGCCAATGTGGGTTGCGACTTTCTCCAAACGCGTGGCCCAAGGCCAACGTGTACCATAAATGCTTGGCTGATATAGTTGCGAGTGGCTCCGCAATCGATCAAAGCGTTGCAGGTCGCCTCTCCGATTGAATGCGTATGTACAACAATGGCATATCGATGTCGTTGTACTGTTGTCTTGAACTCGTGGTCGATCTTCACAACGTAGTCGTGAAGGTCGACAACCTCTACTCCGGCGTCCATCAACGGAGCTGGTATTGCAGTGTGCAAGTAATCCCGCAATTGTGCCTTGAGCACGTTACAATGAGGCTTCGGCAATCAACCGGTCAAGGGAAGGGGCATCCATTGGAAGTCCACGAACGTCAACGGGTCGTGTTCTTGAAGTCTTGACCATGGCGTCGAATCCCCGACGAACGTTGGCGGCGAAGCTGCCGAATCGGTTGCCGATGGTGGTGAAACCGTGCATGTTGTGGATTGTTGCACGTGGAGTGGTTGGTCCAACGGTGGGACCAAGTGGACAGTGTAATCCTCGTAAGTAAAACGAGGACTCGCGACATTCGCATTCTCCCCAAATGTGTAGGAGGCCGCTAGCCAGGCGTCCGAATCTGGCGGAGTGAGAGGTGGAGTCGCTCACCTTCTGCGCAACTCAGTGTCCCGAGTTGACGCGAGGTCGAACATCCTCCTCGCCTTGATCCTGGCATTGGGATGTTTTGTGATTGGTGTTGTTGCACCAATAGCAGCAGCCATAACGGTTGCAGTACTTGTATTCGGCCTCAGTCAAGTTGAACTTGACCCATGGTACCGGTTGTCCATTGCAATAGCAGCAACCGTAACGGCTGCAGTACTTGTATTCGGCCTCGGTCAAGTTGAACTTGACCGATGGTACTAGCTGTCCATTTTCGGTCGGCGATGTTGTTTTCGCCTTCCCTTTGTTACGGGAGTTGTTGTTGCTTCACGGTTGGACGACGGCCACTCGATCTCCCTTGCGTGATGTTGGGGTGGCTGCCGGGTCTTCCACATCGTTGTCCGGTTGGACTGCAGCAACATGCTGCGGACGCGGACCAAATTTTCGTTTCTCCACATGTGCTGGCTGCCACGCTGACTTCTCATTTGCAGCAGCCCGGTTGGTCTTAATGATCTAACGTGCCTTGTCGATGATGTCGGCGAAGGTCATGTACTGTTGTCGATCACCAAGTGCAAGGCTCAAGGCGGCACACGACCGGTTGTAGAACTCTCGCATGTCGTTGTGTGGCCTTGAGTCATGGTGAAGAGGCGGTTGATGGTGAGCGTCGGGGCGTCGTCAACGATGAACCGCTTCTTCCATAGCCTCGTCAGCTCTTCCCGAGAGAGCTTCTAGTGCAGATCGACAACCTGGACATTGTGGATGGTTGGAAAGTGGTTAAGCCAGATCTGGCATCCGCCCGTGGTGTTGAGGAACAGCGCCGTGATGTACGAGTGTTTGGGGACGTGACGAATCCGAAGTTTCGTCATAAAGCCCTCCCACCAGGGAACCGGATCTTGATGTGCATAGTCATGAAACTTTTCGATCCGGAATATCGGCATCTTGTAATGTTGCGGACTGGTGTTGCAATCGTTATCAACCGGCTGGTGCAATTGCCGAACTTCGTTCTTCAAGTCGTCAAGCTGCTCGCTGATGGTGGCGGGKGCGGCGAAGGTGCTGATGTTGCCGAGCATTGCGACTGCATGGTCAACTCGTTCCTCCAATTGGCAGGTTGAGGCTGCATTACTAGGTAGGTTCGCCAACGTCTGGTCCTGGTGCCGCTTGCTCCAGGTCTTGTACACAGTAATCAAGTGCCCCGTGTAGCACCCGTCGAAGATTCGCCAGTTCCTAGTGTTGTTTCTCTAACTCGAACTACAGGGCAAGTGTAAACCAACCGGGTCACGAGTTTGGAGAGGAACTCCTTGTGCTTCTCTTCCGGTGTTGCATCGTCATGATCCTCGGATGGTTCGAAATGCCAGAACTTGAGCTTGTCAACGCTGGTGGCTTCGTGCCGCTGCAGCAGATCCTGGGCCTCCTTGCGGCGGGCCAAGGCATTTGCGTCATCTTCGGCCTGAAGCCGCTGTTTTTCAGCTGCTGCAGCCGCTTCAGCCTGTAGGTGAGCAGCCTCGGCTGCCGCCTGGCACTGCTCCTCAGCCTCGATTAGTGCGAGTTGAGCTTGGAACCGCTGTCGGTACTCGGCAATGGACTCTTTGGCCAGTTGGCCTGGCATGCCCAACGCTGAAACCGTCATGGTGGCAGGGCACTGCTACTGTCGTGGCACTGCTGACGTGGCACTGTTGCTGATGTGGCACCGCCATTGTCATGGCACTGCTGCTGAGGTGGCACTGCTGACATGGCACTGCTGACGTGGCACTTACCAAACCACACGCAGGCAAAGGGTTGGGTGGGAGGGAAAACGCAGGAAGGTAACCAACCCACTGTACTTTCCTCCCAGTCCTACTCAACAGAATAAAACAAAAATAAAAATAAAAGAAGAGGATCACACCCCCCCCCCCCTTTTTTTTTTTTTTGGTATATCCGTCGATCTGCTATGAGTGAGGCATTTCAGAGGAGTGCTATGACCGAGATCTAGGCAAGGTTCCGCAAAGTTTCAGCTTTCAAAAAAAATTGTCATCTTGTAAAAACAAAATTGCGCGAAAAAGACTCGAGGTTCTACTTTCAGAGAAGAAAAGATACAATCCGAGAATATGACAACCTTCCTAGTTCACCTAATCTGCCCAGAGTGAAACAGAAAACGAAATGCTAATCTCCGAAGTTGTGAAAAAGAGAAAAACAATTTTGCAGAGATTTGACGAAGTCCTACTTGATTTACTAATAAACAATCAATCAATCAATCAATCAATCAATCATTCATTCATTCATTCATTCATTCAACAATCAGTAGATCAAGCAATCTGGCTACTTGATTGGGCGGATCCTCTGATTCAGAGGTCCGCTCCGATACCAAACTCTCGCATACCGTAAAGGTGCAGACCAGAACAAGAACCGACCTCTCTCACATAGTACAAGATAGCGCAGCGGAAAGCTAATATACCAATGATCCGACCAATCAATGTCGCAATGCAGACCAAACATACATCATCATCATCGCATGGTGCGAAGGGACCTGGCGCTCACATGGGAAGAAGGCGCCAGTCCCACACATACACAGACGAAGAGGAGGGGGATTAGAGGAAGAAGAGGGGAAGATGGGAATGTCGTCAACACCAAGTCTTTGTTACAGGTCCCAAATAATCCCTCGTCCAATGTCTCAATCCCAATGTCGAGTCTGAATTCAAATGTCGTCAAGTCTCAAAGTCACCAATCTCTCTCTCTCTCTCTCTCTCTCTCTCTCTCTCTCTCTCTCTCTCTCTCTCTCTCTCTCTCTCTCTCTCTCTATCTATCTATCTCGTAGTCTGCAGATACTGAGAAGTCAGGTGGCGAGAGGGTGAGAGAGAGATGGTGGACTTAGAAGAGGAAGAAGAAGAAC